CCCGCCTCTCCCTCCCCACGCCGCCGACACAAAGCCGCCGCCGGGCCGCGACTAGGCCTCGCCGCCCTTCCTCACCACCCCGGGCCCCAAGCCCGCGCGGCCGGGTGGCTTCAGCCGACACCGCCGAGACTCCCGGACGCTCTTCCTGCTCGCTGGGTCCTCCGCGCTCCTCCTCTCGCCTGTGCCTTCCTTCCCTTCACTTCCTTTGAACCGCGGACTCGGGAAACCCGCACGCCGCGGGGGCCGGTGGTGAGGGGCTTCCGCTCGGCTGCCTGGTTTTTTTTGTTTGTTTGTTTGGTTTTCCACCCCCTCCCCGCTCTCCTTGGCCGCTCTCCGGGCCCTCACCGAGCGACGGCGACACCTTCAAGCCAGCCACTATGGCGGCCGCGGCCTGGCTCCGAGCGAGCGCCCCACTCCGGGGTCTCTTAAGCAGGAACTGCACGGGCAGCGCGCGCACCAGGCGGGGCCGGGCGTGCGCGGAGAGGCGGGCCGAGGGGCGGGGCCTCGACGTCACAAAGCGCACCGGCCGGCCCACGTGACCGCCCCCGCCCCCTCCCAGCTTTGTGACTTGGAGGGCGGAACCCGAACGAACCGGGAGATACCATTTGCTTACAGAGAGAGGGGGAGGCTCCGAGGGGGAGCGGCTCACTGGGCGATCCGGGGAGGGGAGTTCACGTGGCAGTTTCCGCGGCGAAGGGGCGTGGCCGAGGGTGGGCCGGGTAACTCCCCTTTTCCCACCGTCGGGCTTCGCCGGCCCCTAAACCACCTCAGGTTCGGTGATCCGCACGGTGGCGATGGCGCTGAAAACTGCGGTTGCTAGGCAAGAAGCACTTCACGTTGCAACGAACTGGCTGCAACCCGAAAACTCTCCTTTACGTGGAAATTCTGCAGCTGCGGCTGCCGAGACTTGATAGCCATTGCCCCATCTGTAGCTCTAGGCCGGCTGGGAACCCACCCTAATCCTGGACCCCGGATAGTCACTCCCCTGTTGCTAAATGTCCGTGACTGTCAACTTGCCGTGAACAATCATGCTTGCCCTGAGCTCAGTCCTCAGACTCCAAAAATAACAGTAAGTTCCAGGTGCTCGTGGCTCACACCTGAAATCCTTCAGGAGGCTGAGATTGGAGGATCGCGGTTCGAAGCCAGCGCAGGACAGGAAACTGTTGATGATCTCCAGTTAAACCCACAAAAAGTCAGAATAGGAGCCGCGGCTCAAGTGGTAGAGTTTTGAAGATAAGGCTCATTACTGATCGTGATCATTTAAAAAAACATGAAGAACAAGCTCCTCCTCATCCTCTCCAGCTTCTCCAGAGGGAGCTCACAGAAGTGGGTCAGCTGAGAAAAGGATCGTGCAACCAAGAGGTCGCAAATTCTAACTGGATTGAGATGGAATCAGTCACCACGTCAGAAAAGCCATCCTCTGATCACGATTTAAAGATGAGGTCTTTTTTTTTTTCCTTGCCCGTATTGGGGCTTGAACTCAGAGCCCGGACCCGCTCTCTAAGCTTTTTGGCTCCACTCCTTGAGCCACTTGAGTTCTACTTCCAGCATTTTGGTGGTTAAATAGAGATGAGTCTCATGGACTTTCCTGCCTAAGCTGGGTTTGAACCGCCAATCCTCAGATCTCAGCCTCCCTGAGTAGCTAGGATTACAGTCATGAGCCACAGACCTCCAACTGATGGCTATCATTTTTACCCCTTTATTGTTATTTCTTAACACTTCAATAAAGGACATGGCATAGGTTTACTTTTTAATTGTGTGTCTCTCACCGCTGATGAAAAGCTGAAAAAGCACTTACTACTTAAGCCTATGAATTAATTAAAAACTAGAAGAAAAAAAAAAAGCTGATCCTCCTGACCTCCATTTTCTATATGCATTCCTTGCCTGAATTGTTCCATCCTGCAGTCACTTTACAGCCAGACAAGATGGGGCCCCAGCTGACCAATCCTGAAACAGGGCCTGTCTCACCACCTCTCACCCACTCTGTACACTGATTGTGTCTTCAACTGCTTCACAATACATATTTGCTCCCTGCCCCGAATTCTTTGTCTATTTAAACCCATAGCTCATGTTGGTACCCTGCAAATAGCTGGAGATGAACTGAAGTACTGTCTTCCTGTGGCACAGGAGAAATCTCCTTTTCTCTGCCCTTAACTATGGCTCTTTATTAGAGACATCTTCCAAGTATTTATGTATTTTATGTATGTATGTATTTATTTTTTGCCAGTACTGGGGCTTGAACTCAAGGCCTAGGCACTGTTCCTGAGCTGTTTTTACTCAGGGCTAGCACTCTACCCCTTGAGCCACAGAGCCACTTCTGGTTTTTTGTTTTTGTTTATGTGATTACAGAGGGGTTGAACCCAGGGCTTTATGCATGCTAAGCAAGCACTCTACCACTAAGCCACATTCCACCCATTACAAGATTTTAAAACACCTTCATTGAATCCTGTGATTTTCATATATAATGATTTTCTTCCACATTGGTTGTTCTCTGAAGTTTTCTTGCTGTCTGGTCTACTTTACCAGTAATTACTTTTCTTTAAAAATCTGAACAGAAATGGCACTGTGGCTCAAGTAGTATGGCCCTAGACTTGGGCACAAGAGGCTCAGGGACAGCTCCAACTTCAAGCACCACAACCGACAAAAAAATACAAATTAATAAAAATCTGTGTGAATCCAAACACCAGTGGCTCACACTTGTAACCCTAGAGAGCTGAGGATCATGGTTCCAAGACAGCCTGGGCAGGAAGGTCTGTGACTCTTCCCTCCAACAAATTACAAAAAAAAAAAAAAATCAGAAGTGAAGTTGTGGCTCAAGTGATGAGTGCTAGCCTTGAGCAAAAGGAACTCAAGGACAGTGTCCAGGCCCTGAGTTCAAGCCCCCGAACCAGAAAAAAATAATCAGTGTGAATAAAAGGTAAATGAGTAGGTATTGTGTTACATACTGGTAACTCCAATACTCAGGAGGCAGAGACCCGAGGATAGACAGCTGGAGAGTCTAAATCCTTTTACTCCATAGCTTTTGTTTGTTTGTGCCAGTCCTAGGGCTTGAACTCTGGGCTTGGGCACTGCTCTTGAGCTTCTTTGCTCAAGGCTAGCACTCTATCACTCAAGCCACAATGCCACTTCCAAGTTTTTCTGTTTATGTGGTACTGAGGAATCAAACCCAGGGCTTCATTCATGCAAGGCAAGCACTCAACCAGTAAGCCACATTCTCAGCCCACACTCCATAGTCTTTAGCTAACTCCTTTATTCAGGAAAGGCCTAAACCAATCAGCTAGGATCCCTTTGGATGGATGTGTACCCTTGGGCAGAATGAAATCAACAGCATACTTTGGCCTACTTTTTCTCAGTCAAAGCCTTTTCCTAAACCTTGCTCATCATGACTACACTGTTTGGGGGAGGTGGTGGTGGTGAGGGGTGATATCTGGGCTTCAAGTCAGGGCTTCATGCTGGCTTGCTGGCCTCACAGCTGGCTCTCTGCCACTCCAGCCGTGTTGCCCATCTGGCTCTTTACTGGTTCATTGGAGATGGAGTGTCTTGGACTTTTCTGCCTGGATTAGCTTTGAACCTTGATTCTCTAGTTCTCAGACTTACGAGTAGCCAGAGTTCCAGGGGTAAGATAGTGGTTCACACCTGCATACTCTTCTCTCATTCTTTTTTTTAAGACAGGGTCTCATAATGTAACTCAGGTTGGCCTCAAGTTTTTGGTATAGTCCAGCCTGTCCTGGTCCCTGTCATGTTCCTCTGGGATCACAGGCATGGGCCACTAGGTCCAGCTACCCTGCTACTCTTATGTACACACCACTATCTTATGAATCATGGTAAAATGCACTCACAAGCATAGTAAATACATTGAATAGATTGGGTAATTTTTTTCCTGCTAGGGATGGAAACTTACACATGCTAAACAAGCAGGCAAGCACTGAGCTATATCCCCAATCCCTGCCAGATAATCGATGCAATTCTACACTTGGTCCATTTCTTTATATTCCTTTTCTAATCTCAGTTTTGTAGTTTTCATTCAGCAGTACAGAATTGTTTATCTGACCACTTTCATTCCTATCAAAATTTTATAAGCACTCAGAAAGCCTTTAATTTTTTTTTTTTGCCAGTCCTGGGGCTTGAACTCAGGGCCTGGGCACTGTCCTTGAGCTTTTTTTGCTCAAGACTAGCACTCTACCACTAGAGTCATACACCAGTTCCAGCTTTTTTTATTTATGTGGTACTGAAGAATTGAACCCAGGGCTTCATGCATGCAAGGCAAGCACTCTACCACTAAGCCACATTCCCAGCCCTAAATTTTTTTTTATTTTACTTATTTTTTAAATTTTTGCTGGTTTTTTTGCTGGGTTTTTTGGTTGGTTTTTCTGTGTCAGTGCTGGGGCTTGAACTCAGGACCTGGGTGCTGTCTCAGAGCTTTTTTTGTTCAAGAGCTAGAGCTTTACTACTTGAGCCACACCTCCATCTCTGGCTTTTTGATGGCTAGTTGGATGTAAGAGTTTCTTTGGTTGTCTGCTGGGGCTGGCTTTGAACCTTGATCCTCAGATCTCAGCCTCCTAAGTAGCTAAGATTACAGGTATGAGTTTCCAGCATCCTTCAATATCCAGCTTTTACTCTTTTTTAGTATTTATTCTTTGATGGTATAGAGATTTGCAACCAGGGCTTGCATTTGCTAGGCAAATATTTTATGACTTGAGCCATACTCTGTGTGTGTGTGTGTGTGTGTGTGAGTCGTGAGGTTCGAACTCTGGGCGTGGGTGCTGTCCCTCAGCTCTTCAGCTCAAGGCTAGCAC